CAGCAGGACAGAGCATAGAGGTAGGAGGCTACTTCATACAAAACTGTTTACAGTGCTGTGCTGGGGTCTGTTATTTTTGGAATGTATAGCATAGCCAATTCCCTAGTGAGGGAAAGGAAGCCAAAATAGCTTGTCATTACAAAATCAGCTTCATTTTTTTCCCATAGGTCCACACAGATATCTGAGAAACTGAGACATGAAACAGATGAGATGTCACTATGACTTCTCAAGAGGTGTCTTGCTTCCACCAAAGAGAGATTCTAGCTGTGGGGGGCACGGCGGATGTTCCTTGGTTGGTAGCTCGGCCCCTGAAGCCTGCAGAGGATTACTCTGGACTTTCTCTGGACCTCTGGCAGTATGGTCAGAAGAAAAATCTGCTGGGGGAAGATGGAAGAGAATTTACGAGGTTGCTGGGTGTTGGCTGAACCTCTCTGCTAGGGAATGTGCAGTGTATCATTGCTGGTAACGCCTCACTGCTGGGCTGATCTGGCTACGGGGCCTGCACTCCAGTTTGCAGTGGCAATTCTTGCACTGGAAGTTCCTCTAACAGGGTGGTGACTAGTGGAGTTTCTCTTCCCATAGCAGGACTCTTGTGCCACAGACTGGGTGAGGGGGCCTAGATGGGAGAAATCATAGTCAGGTACTGCTGTCATGTCAGCTGTGCACATTCACCATTTCCACTTCTGGTCTGGCTGGCGTGAGGTAATGCAGACTGTGAAGTGAGGGGAAAGAAACAGGTTCCCCATTCACCCTAGAGAAAGGAAGATGAACAGGAATGATCCACCTGAGTTCTTTCCCCTGTGCGTTAATCGGCATTCTGTTCTCCCCCATGTTTTGCCAACTCACCTGACTCTTGCCCTGCAGCCACCCCCAAGTTATTCCAGTCCTGGGCTCACCTGCAGTGAGAATGGCAAGCTGTGTCTTACCCTGAAATGGCAAGTAGGTATGGTCCCATCTCCCAGTGATGCTCTCCATCATGGTGTATCCAAGTCAGTCCCTTACCAGGAAGAAGCTTATAGAAGAAATGAGAATTCCTATAAAGATGTGGCTTCAGCTAACTAGAGTAAAATAATAATTGGGCTGGTGTTTTTGGCCACTTGCTCAGAACTACAGTCCTGGTGGCACTGAGTGGCCTAACTCATGGGAACTGGGACCTCTCTGTTCAACCTTTTGGAGCCGTGTGGGACAGATGATTTTCTGGGCTTTGTTCATTAACATTGCAGTAATGCTGACTCTTTTGCTCTAATTTAGGCCTCATCACAGTTTGCGGGGTGTGAAGCTATGTGTGGAAAAACAACCACTTCTTGGAAAAGTCTGGTAGCACATGGTTTTGTAACAGTCTTGTCCATCCTCGGGGCTGACTGAGCAGTCCTGAGCCTTGTGACAGACCTGGGAGCAGACCTGCGGACTACAAGAAGAGTCGTCACTAAAACCAACCAACCGCTTCATCAGATCTGAGCCTGCTCTTGTGGGGAAACCTCAAGATGCTGGTCCACCACCTGGGCAACTAGGGGTTAATAGATATATATGTTTATACTCACAATGTGGCCAGCCAGCCATTGCAATAGAGAAGTACAGCGCTCATTGGCTCTCTGTTGTGGTTTTTTTTCTCTCTGAGATCCATCTAGTCACTTCCTGCTAAAACTCTTCATCATGCTGTCATTTTTCACTTAATTGGATGGCCAGTTTGCAGTCCACGGCTAGCCTGGAGGCAGGCTGAACCTCTGTCCATGGATTCATCAGCATATACAGGGAGTGCTAACAGGCAGATCATTCCCTTCACAGGATAGCACCAGGCTTACCCACTGGGAAGTTGTTTTTTTTAAACCCTCATACAACAATTGCACATTTGACTCACTTGGCACAGTGAAATTAGCCGAATTCTGCAACCTCAGTTGCGACCCCTCCTCAGAGCAGCAGCAAGTCTTGGGTGGAGCTGCAGCCTGCGGTAAGTGCCGTGTTCTTCTTTTGACAGCAGGGCTGGCTGTGCACCGTGGAGCTTTGAGTGGCTTGGCAGTGAAGTAGCAACAGGCAACGGGGTACAGCACTTGAAGGCAGAGAGGAAGGTTCAGCTGGGGATCCAAGAGCATTCTCCAGGGAGCCTGGAAAGGGAGGAGTTTGGGATAGGGTCTTTTCTTGTATGTTTTTTTGCTCCTGCTTTTAATAGAAAGCCAAAAATGCCTCTGGGCAAGGATGAGTGTAAATAACTCTTTAAAGCACCAGGATAGGATGGAAACTGCAGCCAAGGAAAGAATTCAGGAGAAAGAAGCCAGAAAAAGGGCAAGCAGGTTGTTTGTATGAAAGTATATCACTGTTTTGCTCTATAGGATTGGTGGCTGTGGCAGTAAGGGTGGGAAGATGGGGCATATGCTCCTGTGTACACGGGGATTTTACAAAGAGTTTACACAGAATAGTTGCGTTATTGTGTCTTAAAATAGTTCATCTTGACTTTGCCATGTGCCTTTGGATTTTTCTCTTGCCTATGAACTGCATCAAAGTGCTGTGTAAACATCCTCTGCTGAGATCTTAATAAGCGTGCTTGCATCCGATCCAGAGCTCTTGTGCTCTGTCTCTAACTGATGCAGAAGGGGGGGCGGGCTAGGTCTAACCCTGTTATGTGATGATATTCCCAAGGACCTGTTAACTGTTTGGAGACACAGCATGTCAATAAGGCCTGGCTGGTAACAGATCTTTATAGCACAAGTTAGTGGTCACGGGCGTTTCCTTGTCAGCTTCACAGGCCGCAAATAAATCTACAGTCATATCCCTCTAATGGTTTCTGCTGGCATGTAATCAGAGAACAGATCTGAGGTCTAAGTGTGTGCATGCATGTGTAGAAAAAGAAGGTTCAAAGCAATAGAAATGGGAGGCTGGAGCTAGCAAAGTCTGGTGGACTGGCCAGCTGTCCCAGTGGTAAGTGAGCAGCACTGTTGTACAGCAGGTCTAGATCCAGTTTCCCAGGGCTGGTCTCTCACTCATTAGCCTCAGGCCGCATTGCACTGTGCCTGAGGGCAGTCTTTATCTGCACAACAACTGGAAACTGGGCAGGCATGTACCTTTCTTGTTGACTAGAAGGTCTGAGCCCATGCCTAGGTGTAGATCAGCAGCTGGCACATCCCACGACTCTGGGGTGCTAGGCCTTTCTTGCTTGTACCTTGGTTTGTGGTGCTACTGTGCACCATAGTTTCATAGTTGGTCGGGTTGGAAGGGATCTGAGCAGATCATCAAGTCCGACCCCCCTGCCATGGGCAGGAAAGGATGCTGGGGTCAAACGACCCCAGCTAGGTGATTATCTAGCCACCTTTTGAAGACCCCCAGGGTAGAAGCCAGCACCACTTCCCTTGGAAGTTGGTTCCACATCCTAGCCGCCCTGACTGTGAAGTAGTGCCTTCTGATATCTAGCCTGAATCTACTCTCGGTCAACTTATGGCCGTTGTTCCTTGTTACCCCCGGTAGTGCTCGAGGGAACAGGGATTCTCCCAATGCCTGCTGGTCTCCCTTGGCCAGTTTGTAGACGGCCACCAGATCCCCTCTCAGCCTTCTCTTGTGGAGGCTGAACAGGTTCAGGTCCCCTAGCCTCTCCTCGTAGGGCCTGCCCTGCTGCCCCCTGATCATGTGGGTAGCCCTCCTCTGGACCCTCTCAATGTTGTCCACATCCCTCCTGACGTGTGGTGCCCAGAACTGGACGCAGTACTCCAACTGCGGCCTGGCCAGTGCCGCATGGAGGGGGAGGATCACCTCCTTGGACCTGCTCGTGATGCATCTGTGGATGCACGACAAGGTATGGTTGACCTTCCTAACCACGTCCCCACACTGGCGGCCCATGTTCATTTTGGAATCAATAATGACTCCAAGATCCTTTTCTGCCTCTGCACTGACGAGAAGGGAGTTCCCCAACCTGTAGGTCTGCTGCTGGTTCTTCCCCCCAGGTGCAGCACCCTGCACTTTTCAGTACTGAATCCCATCCAATTCTCATCCGCCCACCCCTGTAACCTGTCCAGATCCGATTGCAGCCTGTCCCTCCCTTCTAACGTGCCCACTTCTCCCCACATCCTAGTGTCATCCACGAATTTGAACAAGGTGCTTTTCACCCTCCCGTCCGAGTTGCTGATGAAGATGTTGAACTGTGCAGGCTCAAAGAGAAGAAGAAAGAAGTCTGTGTTTGGCAGTTGCTTCCTTTCCTGCTTCCAAGGAGCCTGAGCACACATAATGGCCCTCTCCAGAGAGGCCCTGTTGCTAGTCCTCTTATCTCCTTGGGCCATATGGTAACTAGCCTCTGCTGCCTATGCTGAGACAAGAGCAAGGGTGTCAATGCTGTCACTGTCCGTGCTCCCACCTTCCCTCAGTGGTGACCCTGGTGGGTTCCATACAGTACATTTCATCTGGGAAGTCCTTATTGGTAAGAGCAGGTAAGGT